ATATAACTCTTTCTCGGTAAGTGGCGGAGTAGTAGCGACTGCTCTACGCTTCGTCGAATCCTATCGAGCGAGATCTTCCCTCCAATGATTGCCAGATAGTTCTGGAAAGGCGTGGGAAAGCCCTTTGGCGTCGTCTGTGCCTTATACATATAAGAATGGTAAAACGAACATACTTTCGATGGTTCGTTGAAAAATTAATAAAAGGGGACGAAGACAAAAATCTCGAAGCGAAAAAAAAGAATTGACATTTTTCTTTTCTTCTACGACCAACCCCCGAATCTTGTTTTCGCGTCCCCTCGTAAAAATGAAATCTCGCGAAGGGTAGATACTGTCTATGTGCTACGAGTCCATCCACGACCTACTCTCTCCTGTCTCTTTCTCTCCACAGTCTACGATATCGATTCGAACCGTACGATTCTACTTTTATTCTCAACAGGGGTCGCGACCAGCTCTCGCCAGTCCACCTTCCTTTGTTCTCCGCTTCCACGCAGTCTCCTGCTTCTCCTCTTTATAAGGTCTGTTTATTTATTTACCCTCTTTCTCTCTCTGTCGCCCCATGGCCCGCGTACAACCCTCGATCTAGCAACCCCTCTCTTCTTATATCGCTGTGCTACTCTCCCTGCAATCTCGCCGGCATAACTTCATCGAAACGCCCGACACAGCTATACTTACATACTATACCACGGCCACAACTGTACTCAATAACCCACTGTTGCCATTGCTGCTTTTAGTAGCGTACGTACTACGGTAGTCAGCAACGGCACCTTCAAGAAATCTCGCATTTGTAATCTCCGCTTGTGTAACGTTCCTGCGAGCATGTTGGTCCCTCGGTTCATCCAAGTACTCCGATCGCTTTACGATCGGCACTGTTTAGTCGTAAAGGCAAACCCAGTGCTCCAGCAACGTATCTAACAAAAGCGCGAGGATAATTCGCGTCCCGGCTCGTTTCGCGCACGTGAAGTCCTATAGGGAGCAACTGTAAAATATCGCTGGCAAGTGCGGCCAGTTTGTGGCTTCGACCGTAAAAGCATGGAGGCTACGTGCCCTCAGTCAGAAGCGACCAACGCGTAGATCGGCATCTATGATAGCGGCGACATACAGCAACATGGTGAACGAAAGTCAAGGATTTCTACAAGGATAACCTACAGGAGGGCCGAGTGTCGATGCGATCGCTTGCACCGAAAATTATTATTCATTCAAGGATCCTTTGCACGAGAATATATAAAAGAAGGACTTATACAGTCGGTTCGGAGGAAATCGTAAACTCCTAAAGGATAACGAGAAACGATACAATACTGTCGCTGCCAGAGAATTTAAAAATAGCTGACTCTTCCGAAGAGAGTCTTATGTGCTTTATCGGCAATTTTGGTAAGGCCACTTTAGGCTCTCACAAAAAAGAAATATTCTGCTGTACGTATAAAATTAATTTGTAATCCGAACCGCATTGTGAACTCTCCTTACGTATTTCTATATAGAAAACTATTATAGAAAGATCCAATGAGTACCTAAGGGAACTTGAGAGGAACGTAACTTGTGTGTAACACGATCGTGAATTGCCCGCGTGCCGCATCGGAGCTTTTGTCTCGTGTGAACTCAGCCATCGACCTGATGAAACCTGGAGGTTCCACAATATGAGAAACTATACTGGTAACCAATTCCACAAACATTCCTTCGATTCTACGTTACCTCTGACGCATACCGTATCCGCATCTTAAATTCAGTGATTCAGTACCAGCAGTAATAGCTTGTCAAGTCAAATTGTGCAATTGCGAAGAACATGTGTAATCCAAGGAAAAAATGTAGTCTCATGAAAGACATGCCTAACAAATAAAATCAAGATATCATGAATTAACTGTATGATTCGCAGAAGAATCATCGAGAGCGATAATCAGAGTTATCTCATTCTGAAATCGATACGTCATTCTTTTTATAAATTTCTCATCGTCGAACAATGAGGAATATGACTGTTCTACAATTTACTGAATCACTCGTGAGAAAATTGTATTCCATTGTAAAATTACAAAGATAAAATAACCAGGATCTGAACACATTTCATGGACTCAAATAGCCATAAGGAGTACAAACAGTACAAAAAATGGAATAATGCAGCCTTAGATATATCTGAAATGCACGATAGATATTTTAAACTTAATTCTTGCTGTATGTAAAAATACACTGGTACTTACCTTCCGAAGGTTTTTTCGAGGTACCGAATCCAACAGGAGGTCGTCGCCATCCGCGCCAGTTGTTGCACAACGATTCCGGCTCGCTACTCCAGCTGCACAATGAATCTTCCTCGAAGCGATCAGAATCTTCGAAGGAGTAACGATCCGTTTCTTCCCAGTCGAGAATCGGGCCTCCCTGACCTCCATCTTCAGCCGCTCCTGTACCGGCGCCGGCACCAGCACCGGCACCAGCCCCAGGTCCGGCTCCTGTCGCAGCTGCTCCTGCACCTCCGCCGCCACTTCCACCCACCACCACGGGGGATCGAGCCAGGTTGCCCGCCAGTTTTAATTGTCGAACGGACGACACGCGACACGATTGTCACTAACTGGACCACGCGTACTGATTCACCAACGATCCCCCACCGCCACCTTGACCTGACACGATAATGACAATCAGGAAGATTTTATCAAGGTATGTCTTTTCTAGGTCCGCTTCTCGTTCTCACGTCTTTATCGTGCCTTGGTTTTATTTGAGAATTCCTGCAACGTCTTCATCTACGCAGTCCGGTATGCTAAAAAGTGTCTAGAAAGATACGTGTGAGTGCTCGATGACTACTTGGACAAATTGCTCGTTTACGCGGGTCGTGGAGAAAGCTGCAGTCTTGCCAGCTCGAACGGATACAGCACTTTTAAGAGATACTCAACCGTAGAGAATGATGATTATATTTAGGAATGCAATGGGCACGACGCGATATATCAATTTTACCATTTGCTTCAAACCGATTGACTCAACAGTGTGGGAAAAACAAAATATCAGGAGGTAGTTATTGAAGTTGTGCCAAACTCAAACGAGATTCGGATATCCGGACAAATTTTGTGCTAAGGCTGCCAAATTTTATGTAGCTAATAAAAAAAAAAAAAAAAAAAAAA